GACTTTTAACATTTATGATGAATTTTGACGTTCGAGAATCATTACGAATCGAATTTTAGCACTGTTCTTTTATTTTTCGGAGGACTTGTTATTCCATGACGCAACTAGTGACGACTGTATTTGTTGGCGCTAGTATAGAAGGTTTGATTCAAAAACAACGATTGTCTAACGTAGATTATACTGCATTGTTTTATTTAATGAACAACTCAATTTTGCATTGTAATTTTCTATTAAATATAGTTTTAATACATATTCTCTCAGTATTTTTGGTAGATTCTATGAAAAATTTCAAAAAGACTTTCCCTGTAAACCTGACGTGCTAAAAAGACTAAGCTTTAAACATGTTCGTAATAAGCACACCTCATTTACTATAGGAAACCTATTATGATACTATGATATAGGATTACCTCAAAATATAGCGACTAATATTGTTCATCTTTATAATAATCGTGTTATATATATTAAAGATCATTTAAACCAACTACACGGTCCTAGAATTGCTCATACAGGTCTTCCACAAAGATTAGTTTTAAGTCGGTTATTGTTCAACATATTTTTAGCAAGTATTCATGGCATTTTTGACAACACAATCAATTGCATCCAATACGCTGATGACATATGCATCTATACAGAGCGTAACTTGTATACTGACTGCCTGGAGGCTCTGGAATTCATCATGCAAAACGTTAATAACTGGGTAAGAAATCATGGAATGACCATTTCCCCTGACAAATAAACCACAATGATATTCACTAGACATAGGATTCGTACGAATGACAAAATAAAGTTGTCTGGATATACATATTGTCAAATAATACAAATATCTTGGCATTCTTCTTGATCCCAAACTTTTATGGTCAAAACATGTTAAATATATAAAAAATAGGTGTGAAAAAGGTATTAATATTCTTTAATGTGTCACTAATCGTAGATGGGGTGCTGACCCAATAAAGTTGCACTGATGTTTTACAGAGCCTACGTGCGATCTATTGTAGACTATGCATTCTGTATGGTGCCGCCAGTAACATACACTTATTAACTGTAGACCGCATTCAGTTCAAATGTCTAAGAATATGCTTGGGCACCATGAAATCTACTTCTTGCCCTATACTACTTGCTGAAAGTAATGAAATACCTCTTCGAAATCGTCGAGAAATAATAGCAATTAATCATATCCTGAAGCTAAGATGAAATAATAATAATCTACTTAGCCAACTGTATAAGTTATCTATCGAAAACCTCTCAAGTTTATACTGGCGCATAAAAAATTCTCCTCACCTTGCTGATGCTTTCTTAGAAACTAATAAGTATTCTAATATCTAGGGCAAAGAAAAAAGATTACCAACATATAAAGCTAATTTTCAGGTAACATTAAATAAACCTTCTTCTTCTTTGGGTGCCGTGTCCGTATTCAGACGTTGGCCGTCATCATGTTTACAATTTCCTAAAACCTTTCTCTGTCGGCTGCTTTGCGAAATAATTCTTCTACTGTGGAACCACACCATTGTCTAATATTACGCAGCCATGAAAGTTTCAGGATAAAAATAAACCAAAAGTCATTATACCAAAGTACACAGAATCCCCACAAATAAACTTTGTCTTACTTAAATCCGTATTGAGTGACTATAATGATCACGTAATAATGTATACCGATGGTTCCAAAAAAGAGGATGGTGCCACAGGTTGTGCAGTTTACATTCCACATAAAAGCGAATCTTTGAAAATTAAACTTCCATCACATTGTTCAATATACAGTGCTGAAGCGGTAGCAATCGAAAAAGCATTAGATTGGCTAGATTTACACAATATAAATTTCTTTTTCTTCTGGTTCCTATCCGTATCGGAAATGGATCATATTGGCAATCATAACCTTGCTCGCTGCGGCTCGAAACAGCTCCGTTGAGGTTTTCTTAAACCATGTTCTTAAATTCCGCAGCCATGATATTCTCCTTCTACCGGGTCCTCGCTTACCTTTGACTTTACCTTGCAATATAGACTGTAGCAGGGAGTAACGGTGCTGATTTCTCATAACGTGTCCCAGATATTGTTCTGAAGCTATTTTCTTGTGGCATTGTAAATTAATTACTATTAAACTGGGAATAAGCCACGTTGAGATCTATTTTGTCCAAAACCAAACCTAACAATGAACAAGAAAGGACAAAGAATTGCATTTATAAAATACCTTGTGAATGCGATCAGTTTTATTTAGGTGAATCATCAAGGCCATTAAATGTTAGAATAAGTGAACATCAATCTTATATTAAAAATAAAGAATTTGATAGATCTCAAATCTGTAAACACGCATGGGATAATGAGCATAGGGTTCAATGGAATAATTCAAATGTAGTCCTAAAAGAAACGGATAGTAAAAAAAGACAAATCAAAGAAGCGGCTATAATTATGCTAAATGAGGCCAATTGTGTCGCAAATTCCTCGGCAGAATGTAGTAGGATCTGGTTACCAATATTGAAAGAGGAAGTTATTAATAAGAAAATACCAGTATTAGTAAGTTAGTAACATATAGAGGATACATAATTTATGTTTTTTAAATAACGTAACATATAAAATCAGAATTTTGATGTTTGTTGAAGGTAAACTAAATTCACGAACAAATACTTACAATGTCGGGATAGTATTATGAGGTTTTTTTCCTGGTTTTTCCCTCATAATTTACTATGGAATCACTAACATGGAGAATTTTACTGTCATCATGTCATGTGTTTGTCTTTTTAAAGACGAATTACATGCTATGATTTTTTTCTGACGGATATTCTCAAGTTAAAGTTGATTTCATGTAATCGAATGAACTATCTTATAAGTAAAGTCGTCCCAGGAGCGCAACTCAACAATATTGGCAATATCATTTTAAAGTCGTCTACTTTAAAATGCATAATGTATGTCTGAATTGTCAATATAAATGAGTCAGATAAAATTAAATTATTAGAAGAATTTTTCACTATGTAACAAAAAACAAAATTTGTTTAATTTACTGTTTGTATTTTGAGAACGATTTCCGAAGTGGAAATTGAAACGTCAATAAACGTATTTTTATCTTTAATTGTGGCTTATTCCCAGTTTAATAGTAATTAGTGTCCCAGATATTGCAATTTTATGCGTTTGATCGTAAACACAATCTCTGGTTCCTTTTTCATTTTTCTTAGAACTTTCTTGTTCGTGATCCTTGCTGTCCATGATATTCCCAGCATTCTTCTATAAAGCCACATCTCAAATGCTTCAACTTTTTTAATAGTGGTGTCTGTAAGCGTCCATGCCTGCGCCCCGTACAACAACACAGAGAAAACATAGCATCTCAAATGTCTCATTTTTGTATCAAGGGATATGTTGTGACTTTTGAAGATGGCGCTCATTTTGTTAAAGACCGTTCTTGCCTTTCCTATGCGGCACTTTATTTCCTGTAAATTGCTCCACTGTTCGTTAATAATAGTTCCCAGGTAACAATACTGTTTTACTCGCTCTATCTGCGTCCCATTAATGTATAGATGAGCCCGTTTATATTCTCCTTGCTGATAATCATTTGTTTCGTTTTGTGGTTATTAATGTTTAGTCCGTACTGTTGACTGTACTCGTTTATTCTGTCCATTAGCCTCTGAAGTCCCTCTAAACTATCTGCTATTACCATGGTGTCGTCGGTATATCTAACATTGTTTACTCTTTCACCATTTAGAAGGATGCCTTCGTCTATTCCGTAAAGAGCCTCGTTAAAAATTTTCTCTGAGTACATATTAAATATCAACGGCGATAGGATACATCCCTGTCTAACTCCACGTAGTATTTTTATGTGATCTGTTTCTTCTCCGTTAATTTTCATGTATGCGGTCTGATTCCAGTAGAGTTCTGAAATTATTCTGAGGTCTTTGTCATCCAGGTCTGCCTCTTTTAAAATGTTTATCATCTTTTGATGTTGAACTCTGTCAAATGCCAATATAAATAATGTAAACAATATAAATAAAGCAGCAATATTATCAGATTGATTATCGGTCATTAAAGGATTAAACTCAGATATGACTCAACATAAAAGAAAAAATATTCTTTGTGCTATTAAAAATTAAACATATAGTAAAGATATTACAGTTATTTGGGTTAAAAGTCACATTGGTATCGAGGGGAATGAACTGGTTGACCAGCTTGCTAAAGATGCGACCCATGTTGGACTCTATATTCCCATATTCACATTGGAGGACTTAAAACAACTTTATTATAATAATTTTTTTATAAATTAGAAAGAAAAATGGAAAAACATAGCAATGAACTCAAATAATCAATATTATACTATCCACCCTATCTTACCACAAGATGTTGCCTATATTTTCAAATATGGAATGCCAAAGAAGTTGACAGCCACAATTACACGACTGAAAACTAATCACAGTGCATTCCCAGCTTACTTGGCTAAGTAAAATATTATCCCTTTTGTGGTATGCTCATGCGATAATACATCACATTGTGACATCAACCATATTCTTTTTAAGTGCGATAAATATAGGTATGAAACAGATCAGCTGTATTCAAAACTATCAGAACTTAAAAATTCAGACTCCCATAAATATCACCTATTTACTCTCCTTAAATAGTAGAGAAGTATACGAATTAATATGTAACTTTTTATTTAAAGTTAGTTACATTATTTAAAAACTAATATCTTATATTACAATTCTGTGGCTAATGGACTAGTTTCCAAGCCAACTCACGAAACACACACACACACACACACACACACACACACACCACACACACACACACACACACACACACACACACACACAAACACACACACACACACACACACACACACACACACACACACACACACACACACACACACACACACACACAAACACACACACAATTGAGTATATATAATGTTGAAAGACTGTCTTATCTGTTACCCCTCCTTCTTTTTCAACCGAATTTGCGAACGGCAATTGCGCAGTTTTGTCTTTAATATATTTCATACAATATGGATAAATAAAAAGTCAATATAAATGTATAAAAAGCGTATATTATAGATAAAATACAAAAACCTATATCTTTAAATTTCTTTTTTTCAGTTCGTCTAACACCCAAGGTTTCAATTTAATGGCACTGGCATAAATACCAGGAACATTTTCGGTTCCGCAACCGATACCCCAAGAAACTACTCCCATAACAAAATATCTAGTCTGTCCAGGAAGTAAACACATTAAAGGACTTCCTCCATCTCCCTTGCAGGCATCTTTATTTTTCTCTCCACCTGCACACATGAATGACTCGTGGAGCATATAATCGCTATCCATCCTGGTTTTACGGAGCTGTTCTTGACACTTATCGAACGGGACAATTGGTAAGTCAACTTTTTTCAAAATTTGTGTACCTAAAAAGAAATATAATGTTTTATTATATGACCTAAACTTAATAAACCAGATTGTATATAAATTGGTCGTTTGACTTGGTTGACCTTTTCACACTGCTATATAAAAGATCTTTTGTGTGTACTCTATTGTCACTACTATAAAACGCCGTGAATAGAACCAGAAAATTCTTCGACCAATCCACAAAAAGGTTTACTATTAATAATTGACCGATCAATTATTTGTACTTGCTTTATTCCAAGAGTACATTTTCAGCCATGCTGGCTAAACCTTTTCTCTGACTATAGTGGTTTCGAATGATAGCCGTTAATTTAAAATCATCCATATACAACAGATGATTAAGCCTCACCACTACAGTGTTGTTATTTCTGATGCTTAAACCTGAGTCAACGGAGTTCAGTAGCTGGGATAGAGGGTTTATCGCTAGACATAATCAAAAGGATTGAGCTCTGCTGGGACTTTTTAATATTGTCGAGTTCTAGGTGACTTGGTACGTCAAAGTATCCCCCAAAAATTTTCGTACACATCTGGATGTTGAGAGTAGTACAGTTTTCTGCATGAGTTTATAGAAATGGTTATTTAGACCTAACCTTGATTTCTATTAGGTTCTTCAAAATGACTCTAGCAGTAGAAAGAATAACTGGCATTGTCTGAGTACTTTTCATTATCCATTGTCTTCGTATTTGAATTTCCAGACCTCTGTACTTGGAAATATTTTCGTTATATTTAACACGCAGATTGTTGTTGTTAGGTATCGCCACATCGATTAGTGTTGTTTGTCTCGAATTTATTAACTAGTACAATATCTGGTCTAATATGTGCTATTTTTTAGTCTGTGTCTATGTCAGCTATATTAAGAATGCAACAAAAGAGCCTAGATATGCAACACAAAACTATAGAAACGATGAAAGAGTTCTGCTACTTGGGGTCACTGATTAACTGCAAATAACACTTCCAAAGAAATGAGAAAAAGAATATGCGTGGCTAATCACTGTTATTTTGCGTACTAGGTACTAGGTACACGTACCTAGGTACTAGGCCTAGGCCTAGTACCTCGACTAAGAGCGAGACATATGTCAATAGCAACAAACTGCAAACTTTATAAAACAATATTACACCCAGTGCTTACTTACGGATCGGACTTGAGATAAAGAGTTACTATGAATAGTCGAAAGAAAAGTATTAAGGACCATATATAGCGTAGTTACCAAACAGGGTTTGTGGATAAGGCAATATAATTTAGAATTCTATAGACATTTTGGTAATTCAGATATTGTGAAAACCATCAAAATAAACAGTTTGCGATGGGCGGGCCACGTTATGTGAGGAAGATTGTGGTAAGGGGATGGAGGAGAAAGACACTCGATAGGAAAGGATGCAAGAATATTTTGAGGCAGACCAAGGCTTACGAAGGGCTTTAGCGCCAACTGATGATGTTCGGTTTGTCAGCACAGTGCTATCTCAGTATAGCTTGTAGTTGTCATTCCTAAGTATACTCTTGGGAATGTATTGATAATTAAATTCCAAATCGAATATTTCAACGTGAAATAAACAAAAATTAAGCACTTTTCGGGGAAAACTCATCAAAAGTTGTTAAAAGTGTTTAAAAAAGCTTAATTTTTTGCCTTTTTTAGTTTCTAGCATCAAAACTAAGCAAGTAACTCGCTTCGTTTTGATTTAGCTCAAATTAAAGTCGATTCGAAGGGGTGTAGGGTTGTGTTATAGAAATAGCACCTTTTATCGGAACTACCACATTGATCGTCATAGACAAGAGATGGTTCTCGATAACTGGTCCTCATAAGACACCTAACTTTCACTTATGGCTCCAAGTGTCACACCCCGAACAACTGCATTGGTCTGCAGGCTAAACTAAGTAAGGGTAGCCAGATATGGCGAAAATTTCCCCACATTCGGACAGTCCTACTAGGGAAAATGAATCAATATCTGCCCTCCGCAGATTCCAGGAATTTCCTGACCCGGGAAACTAGTACCTGCTTAGGGTCCCTTGTCCAGGGTCACGGATGAAGACCACGGTATCCACGGCGGAGAAGAACTTCTTCAGTACGGTGTGTATGGCAGAATTGGCAACCCCCGATTTTAGGGTTAGTACAAAATTAGATCACAGCAGCGTCTGTGCCAGAATGGGCGGCTTGCAACAGCGTCTGACCCTGAAAGGGCGGCTGATCCACGAACTCGCCAACCCGTTTGACAAGCGTGGCGTGTTAATGTTAAAACACCCCCTAAAAATGTCGAGTTACAAAACAAATGGAAAAATACCCCAGGTGGGTAGAGTAAACAGCTCAGACTCCCACACCGCGAAAACGGTCAGCCTCAAGGATTCTAGGGGAGGCAGATATTCAGCAAAATAATAAAAAATTCAGCACATAAAGGTACATGAGCTAAAAGAGGAAATATCCAAGATATGGGACATAATCGGGCTAACAGAGATAAGAAGAAAAGGAGAAAAACAGAATTCAACTAATATCTGGTAATATACTGTACTCCAAGGGCAACCCAGATGATACAAAAAACGGAGTAGGATTTATAATCAATAAAAGAATTGGTAAACATGTACAAACTATTAAAGGAATATCATATAGAGTGGAATACATGATAATTAAATTTAAAAGAACAACTTTGAAACTAATTCAGATATATGCACCAACCAGTACATACTCAGATGAAGACATTGAAACAATATATAAAGAAATATCAAAAGCATTGGATGAAGAAAAGACCCAACTAACAATTGTGATGTGGGAGATTTCAACGCCAAGCTAGGACAAAGACTAAATGACGAAGAAACAAAAATAGGAAAATATGGATATGGTGTACGAAACGAAAGAGGGACAACCCTGATGAAATACATGGAAAAAAGGAAACTCTACGCCATGAACTCCTTTTTGAACAAGAAGCCACAGAGAAAATGGACCTGGATAAGCCCTGACACCAAAACTAAGAACGAGATCGACTACATATTATCAACACAAAAATACGTAGTCAAGGATGTCACAGTGCTAAACCGTTTCACCACAGGCAGCGATCACCGAATGGTGAAGGCTAAGATACAAATTAATAGCCAATTTGAAACCAGAAAGAAAATCAAAAATGTACAAAAACTAGATATGGAGAAACTTAGCCAAAACAAAGAAAAGTACAAAGAAGAAATAAAAAAATGCATCCCAAATACAGCGACTTAATAAATAAAGAAACAAACGAAATAAATGAAATACTAACAACTACATTGCTACAGGCCGGGGAAAGAATTGCAAAATCGACGACAAAAAAGGACAATTATATCTCAGAAGAAGTAAAAAACCTGATGAAGACAAGAAGAAGCCTACTTGAACAGGCAAAAGAAACACAGTAGAATATACTGAAATCAATAAAACAATTAGAAAAAACATAAAAGAAACCAAGAGAAAAACTCCAGCAGAACAAAAATATAAAATGCTTAAAAATAATCCAGCAGAACAAAAATATGAAATGCTTAAAACAACGACTCGGAAACACTCAGATAAATGAAATGACAAACAGCGAAGGAACAACCATTAATGATATGAAACAAATAATAAAGTTGACACACGATTACTATACGCACCTATACAAAACAGATATAGACCACAGCAAGAAATTCTTAAATAATTAAACACAAAAATTAAGAATATAAACTCTGACCTACAACCAGAAATAAGTAAAACAGAAATCAAGAAAGCAATTCAAGAATTAAAAAACCATAAGTCACATGGAAAAGATGGAATAACTGCAGAGATGCTGAAGAGAGGGGGGAAAACAACTAGAGAAGTCCTACATGTCCTTATGAACAAAATGTTGACCGCAAATGAAATACCCGAAAGAAAAGAAAGACCGAAAGAACTTAGAAAACTATAGACCTATAACATTACTAAGTGTTGTATTTAAACTACTAACGAAGATCATGACAAATAGACTAACAACTAAGCTTGACGAATACCAAGCAAGAGAACAAGCGGGATTCAGAAAGGGTTTTAGTACTAGCGACCATCTGCTAAGAGTAAAAATACTGATTGAAAAGTCTAACGAGTATCAAATCCCATTATACATGGCATTCATAGACTTCCGAAAGGCGTTTGACAGCATAGAACATTAGGCCATCAAAAACACACTACAGAACGACAGAATTGATTAAAGGTACACGGACCTAATAACAAACATATACAAAAATGCGAGTACCACAATAAAATTGACGAACGAACACGCTACAGAACCAATAAAATTCGAAAGAGGAATCAGGCAGGGAGACACAATATCGCCAAAATTGTTAAATCAGGCTGTGGAAGACATATTTAAAAAATTAGAATGGGATACATATGGAATAAGAATAAATGGAGAGTTCTTGAACCACTTGAGATATGCAGACGATATAGTCTTGATAACAGATAAGAAGGAAGAGTTACAGAAGATGGTTAAGGAACTAGATAGAAAAGCGACAGAGGTAGGTCTAGAGATGAACTATAGTAAAACCAAGACTATGACAAACCAAGAAGACCAATTAGAAATAGTAGTCAAACAGAATAAATTAGAGCAGGTGGCAGAATACATATACCTAGGACAGATAATAAAGCTGAACAGGGACAATCAAACAGAAGAAATAAAAAGAAGAACTAGACTAGCAGGGGCCTCATTTGGTCCTATCATATATTCATAATTCATATCATATATTCTAAAAAATAAAAAGTTCTCTCAATATATGCGAACGAAAGTATTCAACCAGTGCATTTTATCAGTTATCACATATGGCTCACAAACATGGACTTTCACAAAGGAGAACATCGACAGGATATCCAAAACACAAAGAGCAATGGAAAGACAGATGCTGGGTATCGGTCTTAAAGACAGGAAAAGAAACTCATGGATCAGAGAAAAAACAAGGTGAACGATGTATCAAGACAGGTTGCAAAACTTAAATGGAACTTCGCCGGTCACACTCTCCGGCAAAAAGATGAAAGATGGAATAGGCGAA